GTTGGCTAGTCACCGTAAGGTATTGAATAGGCTCTTTAATTAATAAAAGACTAAAACTATTCTGAAAGGTAGTCAATTGCGAGGCGCATCNAGGGGTGGAAGAAATGGCAGAACAACGAGTGGTATTTCTACAACATCGTGAGTTTTTCCTATAAACCACCACTTCATCACAGAGAACGTTGGGTGTGTACAGTTAGGTTCGAACGCGACGTCGCACCAAATTGCGGCAAAGTAAGTCCGGCCCAGATCATTATTTCGGCGCTTTGCTGGGCAAATGTGCCGTTTGTTATGCGACAGTTCACACTTCTCTCTTACGATACACGACCAATAATTTAAACTAACGATCTGATTACATGAACTATGAACGTTCGCTAATATGTCGAATACGACATTTTGACGTTAGGCAGCATTCATACTCGGCTTCTCTGTAGACAGCGGCGTTGCGCGGGATTCAAATGTAAACTCAAGAGAAAGTGCTCACGTAGAGGAACATCAAAGTGATAGGGAACGGCATAAACATGAGTTCGTGTTACTATCATTACATTCCCAAATGTCCCCTTCAAGATCACTATCTTGACGCCGAGTATAAACGCAGCCGAGTCAACACAGACACAACAGAAAACAACATTACACACAAACAAATCAACAGAACACAGTGAAAGGTGAACAATTGGAACCCACACAAAAACGACAGACGGGATATGAAGATGTGAGATCATAAGATATCAAAATTAAGTTAGTCATAAGAGAATCACAGGTCATGTTCGTCAGAATCCTCAACAGCTTCACCGTTATCGTCGAGTGCTTCTGCATTATCACAGGTGGCGTCACCATTTCGAGCAATACATAGTCGCTGATGCTTCTTCAGATAGATTAGTCGACGAAATTTACTGCCACATTCACAGCTGCAAGAGTAAATATTGGTATAAGAATAATTCATGTTTATTGGCTTCGATATACATTGTTACTGAATTGGAGAGGGGACTATGCTGGAACAACTGAAGAAAGTGCCTTAGTTAATTCTTTTAGGACGTATTTGACTCTATTCATAGTTACAGAAGGACATAAATACCTTTTATCGTATACAGTTTTCAAAGGAAATGATATTAGTGTGGGCGTGGGTACACTCCAGAAGTCGAGTAATGAATGGTTGTGAAGAAAGAAGTTCGATATGAGGACCTAGTTATAAATAGAAAAGGTTGGGCAGATCCGATCCCATGAACCCTAAGCTAGCTTCCAGTATGGGGGTAATTCGCCTTGTTTACTACAAGTTTACTGTGTATAAGGTTAGGAAGTTAGTAATAACTGGAAATGGTGGCCAGTGACCGAAGAAGACGTCCCACAATGGTTCTGTTCCGTTAGATGCTGTGATGATGGAGTATAATAATTAGGTCCTGAGGGGTGAGTGCGGATTCTGTGAAGACTAAACGTCGCCTTGAGTAAGGAATGACTTAGTGGGCAGAGGAAGACTGAGATGGCGATCGTAAAAGACAGGGTAATAAGAGATTCCATAAAATTAACAGGAAAATTTGTTTCAAGGTGATACCAATGGGCTACCGGAACATCAGATTTGATCAGTATTTCTTGTTTAGCGTTCGAACCCCTTGAGAAGGTGAACAATTGACTACAATGGTCGTCAAGCTTTTCTAGTTTGTACTGCCAACTATAGCTATCGACAACGCAGTCTCGAATGCAGATGTTTTTCAGCATTCTATTTAGCCATTCTGACATCAACTGTGGAGTGTAACTCAAAACAAGTAGCAGTAGTGGTCGTTTACCGCATTTATCGTCAGAGATTTAGTCTCCATTAGTTTGATATCTTCATATGTCCCAGGGGACATCCCATATGATAGTGCTTACATATCGTAGTCAAAACTGAAGAAACAAGTCACTTACTGGAAAGCTGTTTCAGATGTGTGAGTCAAGGTGTGCATCTTCAGATCATTACGACGGACGAACGCCTTCCCACATGTATCGCAAACGTACGGTCGTACGTTCGTGTGAACGGAACGTATGTGGGCTGTCAGTGCCTGAAAGGATAAGACCGGATAGGATAAGACGCCAGAATACCGAATAGTCGACACTACAAAAGGAAACAATATGTTTATGCTATCGCAAGCAGATATGGCTTGGAACCAGCTGACTGGAGGGACCACAAGTCTATCAGGTAAATCTCAAGGTGAAAAAAAAGAAGACAGCTTGAGTGTTGATTATTTCCCCTTTTCGAGATGCCAATTCCAAAGAAATGGACATCCTTTCAAAGAACGGTACTGGTATTCGAACCTATATACATACTACGTTGCAGAAGTGGCGTAGTCCCAGTGGCGCACATTACCACACGCATGACTTGGGGTCCAGCGCCAGATCGATACCCGCCCAAGCGTTCACAGCCTTCCATCCCCCCGAGGATGCTCAATTTGTACTATACTTGCCTGAGAGAATAAAAACACTGAACTATACGTTGGCTAGTCACCGTAAGGTATTGAATAGGCTCTTTACTTAATAAAAGACCAAAACTATTCTGAAAGGTAGTCAATTGCGAGGCGCATCTCGAGAAGAATTGATAAGAGGACTCAAGCCTTTTCTACGCTTTCCCTTTCAAATTTTTCGACAACGAGAAGCTTCTCGTTGAGGGTTCAACTGACCTTGCTACATTTGTAACCAGGATGACCACATCCCTCATATGGACACATATGAAGATGATTCTGATGGACCATTTGCACATGGCGCCTCAGCCCTGCGAGAGAGAGACGCTTTGCAAAATAGTTGTTGTCATCATCGATATTTGCACTCACCTCCTCTTCGACCGAATTTCTGACCACATTCCTCACAAATAAAGTTGCGTTCCTTCCTAAAATAGCGTACTGCCACTTAGTGCATACTTTCTGATGTAGCTCAATTCATTTAAAAATACGAGTAAGGTCCTACTCACAGATGCTGAATAGATATGTGCTCTCGGAGCTGAAAAGCCGATGCAAATCGTTTGCCACACTCCTCGCAGTCCGTCGGCGGCTAAAAAACTTGGTCAGACGAGGTGGAAAAGCGCTATAAGAGATTATTTAACTAGGACAGAGGTTTGAACAGAAATGGACAGAGCATCTAAAAACCACTACCCTTAATTTTAACTGAGCAGGAAGTCTAACAGTACAGGTTCTAGCAGTAGGGTGATAAGATACACAGGGTAGCACGGGATGCTGTAATGAGTAGGACTGGCGTTATCAAACCAAAGGGCTCTGAGAATAGATACCAAAGGGCTCTGAGAATAGGATAGAATGGATACCGTTTGCTTAGGGCAATACTGAGCTATGATTCCAAAATGAAGCTTTCAGACACGATTTCCGATGAACAATGGTGACCTTTAGTGGTTAGCTCGTTCCAGCGGTATCAGCAGCCATCTAGCGCTTTATACTCTACTGTNACCAAAGGGCTCTGAGAATAGATACCAAAGGGCTCCGAGAATAGGATAGAATGGATACCGTTTGCTTAGGGCAATATTGAGCTATGATTCCAAAATGAAGCTTTCAGACACGATTTCCGATGACCAATGGTGACCTTTAGTGGTTAGCTCGTTCCAGCGGTATCAGCAGCCATCTAGCGCTTTATACTCTATGTGGGTTCAAACCTAGACTGAGACAGGCGTTTTGCCTTCAAGTCTACACCCTACACGCTCATTAGGTAACATTCGCATCACTGGACATGACCGAAAGTGGTACTTAACATAACAAAGATTTATGATAGATTTAGCACCCAAATATAACAAAGTGCAAAAGAGGTATAGCCCATACAACTGAAGAAACAGAAACTGATTGTGAGAACAAGGTGCGCCATGAGGATGCATTTTGATGTAGAAGTCCTCCAGGCTTAAATTCTTATGGGGAAAACTCGAAAAACTCACTCTTACGGCAGGTTTCTTATGAGCCTTCTTGAAGTGCACGTCCGCTGCATGGGGAGATTTGAAAACCTGAAAAAGACTGAGTAAAAAACAAAAACAGCACAAGCCTTGGGCGATTTGCTTTTCTCCCCCATAGCTCATCACCATCGAACTCACCTGATCCCCACTAGTCTCTCTGTCAGAGTCGACACCTCCTATCACATCGACAGCACACTCTTGTTTGGCCTCCAAGCTCTCTCGGCTGTCGCCACATTCCTCCCCGCCGCCTTCAATGACGGCTCCGCTCTCCTTACATGGCTCTTCGTCATCGCTCTTTTTGATAACGAATTTACTCTCCCTCTGACTCTCTGCCTCCTGTTGTTCTTTACGTTTTTTCAACAAAGAGATCTTCATTTCAAGATTTTGCCGTTTATGAGCGCGAATACTATCTTTACGCCATGACTGCCATGATGGCGGAATATCGTGGGGTTTGAAGTCATTTCTGGGGAGCGGCATCAATGGCATGGCAACGTCCTTGCCAGCTGGATAAACGTGGCCAAAATGAGGCAGGATCGTTCCATTGGCTGCATGAGCCTCAAGCATCATTCGTTGCAGAATTAAGGAGAATACACCACTATGAGCTGCTAGCTGTGGATCCATACAAACGCTTCCTAAATCATGACATCACACTATAGGACAGCAGAGAATCAATAGATCTACGGAACAAGGGCGATCATTAATATTGATAGCTGCGGTCGTTTTTTGGCTGATTCAAACACACACAGGAAGAGCCTGGATCGATTAATGTGGGATAGTGAGCATTGGGAGGGCAAGTCGCGGCGCGAGACAACTAACCAAGACTTGGAACGCACCGAGACAACTAACTAGGAATTGTCGTTCTTTGAGCAAATCGAACATAATGCAACACAACCTAGCATAATGAGATACAAATGAAAAAACCAGTGTAAAAGACGACTGGAGTAGAAGAATGGAAAGGATCGATCAGAATTGAGTCGGCAAAGGAAAAGTAAAACGAATCGGCTGATAGAGTCTCAGGGTTACCTTGGAGTATGCTATAGGTCACTCCCTCAGCCCCTTAACCACTCTCTTCGCTATACGTAAATTACCTACTTCCACACATCAATAGTCGTTCAGGCCGCGTTTGAGTATGCGGTCATCAAAGGGTTGCTGGAAGCAATTCTGCAGGTCGAACATTGCATGGACAGTGGCTTGACAATACTTTCTTTCCAGACAGCCCCACCTATTCTCTCATCTAAATACCAAATACTGCAGCCGCTCAATGGGTCAGTATGGCCACCGCTCCTCAGCCGCGCGCTCAATGTTTACGTACTGCGTCGGCACATCGTCAACTCTCAAACATCTGCAAGGCTGATAAGATCAGAATGCTTCACTTTTTGACCTCAGACCAGATTTTACCTCCTTGAATTATAAGATTCAGCGGAAGAGAATAGCCGAACTACTTGTCAAAGCCGAGGGTCAACTGGGAACTGGACCTGCGTTACACCGCGGCTCCTATTCCTCTCACAACACAACGAACCTGTGAAAAGCAGAGTGGCCGAAAAACAAGAAAATATCAAAAATGCAAAAACCAGCAGCTAACAATAGGTAGTAGCACCCCTTTTGCCTCCTGGAAGCGCAATGGAATACGAGAGCCTCACATTTCGTGCGATTGCAATATGAAAGTGCGGATGCCACTTCGAAGCATGATGAGGATACATGCAGCCAAGTACAGAGCGATGGAAAAAAATAAAATTCGAGAAAAAACGGACGAAAATAATACGGTGAATGAGTTAGAAAGAGTAGTGCCGCTCATGTCAGAAAAGCAAGCTGGGGCAACCACACGATCTCAATGACGTTCGTTTTGTGGAGCGGTCGTGTAGCACGTTATCAGTCCATGGGCCTACGTGGGGCACAATCAATAGCTATCACGTGAAACGACCGCTCTTCTTGTGGAACTTTGTGGCAAACATGAATGAATGAGGTTAGACGTTTTGCCAAATCGAACAGACGTGGAAATGGATAAGTGGCGATTGAGCTAATGAAAAGTGTTGAGCTCATGATGATTACCCTAGGAAGGCCTATTTCGGCTAGATAGACTTTAAAAATCATTAAAAAATCAAAAATTAAGCCACAGTTTCAATGGTCACACTTTTTTGTGAACGCTGTGAACGAAAGCATAATGCACTTTGGGCACTTCCAGTGAGGAGGGCGTACCAGGACGCACCCGAGAAAATCGATCATCAAAGGGACCATAGGCTGAGAGGTCATAGTAAAGTCCAGATTGTAAATCATTGCGAAGTAGTTGCAATGTCACTTTGATGGTCCGCGTTATACAGCCGTACAAGGAGAAGCAGTACATGAGGCTGAAAGGTATACGGATGGGTCGAACACAGATTTTGTTTAGTAAAGGGATTCCTTCCCACACTACACATTCTGTTAGTAGATCTGTGTATCCAGGGTGCGATTTTTATGAAAGCCCCGATATCTGTAGATGATTTCCTCGAAAGACCCCTGTGGCCAAAGTAAAAGAACAGGTCCCATTGATCATAGTTCTCGAAGTTGGTTCTGTTTCTCCCAACCTTCGTTGCACTTCTGGAATTTTTCGGTTTCATATCCTACCACGACCAGTTGTAGAGCTCTCCCACACTAACATAGCAGTGGGTCGATAGGCGGGGCCATTTGCCACGGGCGGAGCCTCTTAAGTGATATCGGGCTTAGAGGCTCTTGTTTCAGGATGTTGACTCATAAATCGGCAAACGTTCACGTCTGCGGCCGAGCTTGAACCGGCCCACAGGAAGTAGGTCCATTTCGCTGTATAGGAATCGTCGACAAAAAAATTCGAAGAGTAGAGGGTTCGATGGAAAAAATTTACCTGTTGATTATTCTATAGCTTTACAACTCAAATAGTTTTTTCTTTTGTATAGTTCTCCCTAAGCTATGAACTTCGGCCAAAGTGCTGTAGTACTACCCGGACAAAAACCCATCTGGAAACCTAGGCCAACTAACTCATTTATCTTTCAGCACTCCCTGCACGTCAACCAGCACTTTTCTTTCTTTTCTGGGACGACAACAGCTTCGATCTGTAGCACTACCTGTTGTGTCGAACTAACCAATAAGAGCATGGGCCGATGCTTGCTTGCATTGCTACGATGATCCCAATGGGGAAGGGGGGAGGAGGGCCAGTTCAAGAAGACCAACACAAAGCCACTTTCCTTAGTATTCTGTAGATTGTAGCGATGTAAGTGTACATACTACTCCTTAACTCTCCTTAGTGTACATACAACTTAACTTGTCTCTAGTTCCTCACGTTATCAATGCAGTACCATACAATACAACAATGAAACAAGAGGAAGATGGTTTTTAGGAAGTATACGATGGGTTAGGCCTACCTTTTACTAAGACATTTTTCTTGTTAAGCTCACATATCTGTGAACAAAACTGAAGTTTCCAAGATCAATTAATTTCCTACAAGATGCGCTGCACAACGAAGATATCATGGCTTCTCCTGCCTCCTCCTACACCTCAGTTATTGACCAAACTCTAGAAGTTTCCGGAAGAACTGAAGTTCACTGTGACAGGGTTAGATGCGATTCTTGGTCAGATGGATGGCAGAACTCTGGCCATTGTATTTCTTCAACCTTTTTCATTGAATAAAATGCAAAATATCCCGTATGCTGCTCTGAGCTTCACGTGCTCTTGTTTTGATTGAATGTTTCTCGAAGCTATCGATTTAAAATAAAATAAAATCTATATAATTTAAGAGCTTCGGAAATACTCTAAACAAAAACGTTTAGATAGAAACACTTAAGAAAAAAAGGTAGACAATTCGCTTTTCCTATAACTCGATTGACCTATTTCAGAATATAGAGCGGTGGTAGAGGTTTTGTGATAAAAAAGGAGTGTGAGGTTTTGTCGCAGATCGATCTCGTTCTGAGATGCTTTTCCTTTTAATGCTCACCCACAGCAAAAAATACTACTTACACTCAGAATACAGAAAGTGGGGCTGTTTGAGTGAGTTAATGGCCTTTACAGTCCTTGTAAGAGCAATCCGATGTTAAAGCCCATGGTTCTATCCTCCCAGAATAATTCGGTACCCATTAAACGATCCCGAGAGACGAAGTATTTGGTGGGTGTGGGTGGGTCACGTAAGTCGATGGAGTCTTTATTTCCGGAAAACACGCATGGAAGTGGCTCTTCATTGGCCCTAGCCCACCCCCGCCGAAGTTTGCGTGATACATAGCTAAAAGGGGTGGCAGCAAAAACAGTAGGTCTCGAGAAGATTATAAGAAACTGGAACCCCAGCTAAACTCGCCAG